AAAACAAGTGAATCTGGGCAACAGACAGCAAAATTGAACAATAAATCTGTAAATATATATATATATATATATATATATAAAAAAAAAACTACAAAAACAGATTTCTGAGCCTGAGGCTTTGTCCACAATTATAGCCAGCCGTCTGGATCGGAGAAAGTGAGCCAGGAAACGTGGCCTGAGCTGCCCTTGTTAGCACTCTACTCTTTCATAAAGGCGAGTTACCAAAGCCAACCCTTTTCTTAATTTCAGCAGCTACTTAATCTTGTGATAATCAGGAATGAATTAACTCCAATTAGACGACAGAATTACCAAGCTTTATCAGCTTCAGCTGAAGGGACTCTGGCTACGATGATATAAGGCTTAACTCTCAGCTCCTGTCTACACAGAGGCTGCCAGCTATTCCCACGGACCAGTTTCCACACAGTTCAACTGTCTTGATGCAATCAAGGAGGAGTAGCTACTCTTGCTTGGAGTCTTTGTGTCCTCACTGAAGACCAGAGTTAGGACACCAGGAGAAGATGGGCTCAGAACCACAGGGCCACGGACAAGGAGCACTTACACAACAGCGGCATCCATCTACTACTTGGTCTAGCACAATAAGGAGCAACTACATCTTCATTTAATGACCCCATAATCCCTGGTGGGTGGAGTCTGGGCAGCTGAATGGAGCTAGCAGAGTGTTTCATGGCCAGATGCCATTCCCTGTCGCCAATGCGGAGTTTTGTTCAGCAGATATATTCTCATCATGCCCAGAGAGAGAAATATCTGCCTCTACCTAGGATTGAACTCACAGCCTCCTAATTATGAGGCGAAAGCTCCACCTCCAGGCCACCACATCACTCCTGAGCAACTGCCACCATGCCCTTACTAGATATATAATACACAGCGGCTCTCTAATTCTGTATCAACCTTCTGGGACATTATTCCCACATCCCAAATCTGACTAGCCCCTACCTGTAGTAACCACATAAGCCCAAATTGTGAACACCTGGGGTTTCTGACAGATGGTAGAAGACTATCCTCAATGGTTTGGTCATCTCTAATTGGCAGAGGGCTATTTTGGAGTGGATGCATTTATTTTAGAGTTATAATGAATTTCTGGTCTGGAGGAAGATGGCCATTTGATTTGTGAACTGCCTAAACATATATTAAAAATATAGAAAATAGGTTATAGATATTCTGGAAATGGAGGAGAGGAGAGAGGAGAAGGGAAGGGAGGAGAGGGGAGTGGGGAGGAGAAGGGAGAGGAAGGGAGTGGAGGGAAGGGGAGGACAGGAGAGGGAAGTGGAGTGGAGAGGAGAAGGGAGTGGAGGGAGGGGGAGGAGAGCGGAGTGGAGAGGAGAAGGGACAGGAGGAGAGGAGGGAGGGGGGAATGGCATGGAGAGGAGAAGGGAGGGGAAGGGGAGGAGAGGAGAGGGGAGGAGAGGAGAAGAAAGTAGAGTGGAGAGGAGAAGGGAGAGGAATGGAGTGGAATGGAGGGGAGGAGAGGAGAGGAGTTCCTATCTAATGAACACACCGTTTATATTTTACTTAACTAAAATGTTACTACTGATTGTTTCATTGAAGTAGTCGCTCCTCATCCTGGAGAAGCTACAGATGGACGGATGGACTCCTGGTGTAAGACCCTGTTGAAGCTTCTCCATTCGGTCTGCTCTTGAGTTCAAATGTGGCTGCTTAAAACGCTGCAGAGACCCTTCCAAACGGGGAGGACAAAACTTCCACCTGCCTCACCTGTTCCTGCAGGATCTTCAGCATGGCCTGCGTGTGGGAATGCTCTTCTTTTGCTTGTTCCAGTTCCAGCTTCTTGTTGTTTAATTCTTCTTGAATTTTCAACAGTTGCTAAAAGAAAGAAAGAAAGAAAGAAAGAAAGAAAGAAAGAAAGAAAGAAAGAAAGAAAGAAAGAAAGAAAGAAAGGAAAGTTGATAATTAGGGAGGAGGTTTGATTTGGCCTATGGCATAGCACACAGAGTAGTCCAATGTTTCCCTTCTTTGAGGATTGGAGGGGAGGGGAAGAGGGGTTGGCTCCGTGCGAGCAGTCTGCAAGCACACACAAACACAAGCAGCACCATTTGCACAAGTGGTGTGCACGTGCACCGGGGGTGGGGGGGCCTCCAGCCTTGCTAGAGCTCAGGGAGCGCCTGCAAACTACCCAAGTTTTTGTCCTCCCCCCCCCGGCCCCCAGGAACACTCTGCAGGCTTCAGCAGGGCTAGAGGGAGGCAGAAACACCCCCGTTTTTGCAAAAAATGAGCGTAAAACGGGCTGGGTTTTTTTTTGCAAAAATGGGGGCATTAAAAAGGGGGGGGATTACATTTTTTCAAGGAAGGTTGCTCTGTGCATGTGCAGAACAGAAAATAAAGATGGTTGCACCCAGGATAGAACCGGTACAGTCAAGTGTCCAGCCGAGTCACTACCTCTTAGGCCGAACTGGTCAAAACTGGTAGGAACCCATCTCTCTCTCTTTTTTTTAATTTTTATTATATCAATTTCATATATACATTCACAATTATATGATCTCATAACTGTTATTAATAATATGTATTTATAACAATTTTTTCCCTACAGTTGACAATATACTTGAAGATTGCTTTCTTACCATCCCATAGATCCATCTTATCTTACAACGGTCCTTCTTCTTCTTCCCTCCCTCCCTCTTTCCTTCCCTCGTTTCTTCTCTCCTACTCTCCTTCCTTCCCTCCTTCCTTCCCTCCCTCCTTCCCCTTCTTTCTTTCTTTCTTTCTTTCTTTCTTTCTTTCTTTCTTT